CCAGGGGAGCTGAGCGTTGCCCTTGCTGGTTGAGGCAGGCTGCAACAATGCAATTTTCAGCCCTGCATTGACTTTTGTTGCTGCTGCTTTGAGGGGAAAATAAGCTGAGTCTGCAAATACGCCCTGGTGCCGAGAGCTTATTCCAGATAAAGGGGAACAGTGCTGATGTGGTCGGTTTGCCTTCCTGGCCTGGGCAGTGCTATGAGCTCAGGGGGTGACAATGACGCTGTGTATGTAGTCCCTGCAGCCCTACCAGCTGCACTTCTGCCTGTGCCATTGCTGCTGCTGCCTGATGCCAGGGCAGGGCTGGTATTCCCTTACCTATGTCTGTGGCAGCATGTTCCCATGTCCCCATAGAGCAGCTTGGCTCACCCAGCTGGGACTGGTGGACCAGGACACTGCCCTGCAGTATGGACCTCGAGCCATGCCTGGGGATGGATGGGGTGCTGGCACAGGGCTGCACCAGGGAGGGGAGAGGGAGGCACAGCCCCAGGGCTGCCATCTCCTCCAGCGGGCTGAAAGGAGCCAGATTCAGCCCACAGCAGGGCAGGGTTGCACCCTCTGGGCACAGGCAGCGTCCCCTGTCCCTGAGGGGCTCTGTGACCCCCTGCACTCTTACAGGGGACACTTCCAGGAGCAAGGAGCATGGTGGCAGTGACCAGACTTTCCCTCCTGCTGCTGGGCTGTGTGGTGCTCCTGCAGCCAGCTGGTAAGTTCCATGACTTGGGTGGCAGTCACTTCTGCAGTGGGGCTGGGAGGGAGCCATTGTCCCCTCTGGGTGGTGAGGAGAGATGTCCCCCATCCCTTCCTGTGCCTCTCCCTCTGCAGGCGCCCGGTACATAACCTACTGCCCCAAGGGCTGGTACTATTACAAGCTCAGCTGCTTCAAGTATTTCAGTGAACTCCGGAGCTGGGATGAGGCCGAGGTAAAGTTGCCAGGGTATGGAGGTGGCTGGGTCCCCCCATCTCCTGGCACTCATATGGCTCTCCCTGCAGAGCCAGTGCCAGGCCAGCAATGCCGGCGCTCACCTGGCCTGGGTGGAGGAGCCCCAGGAAGCAGCCACCCTGCAGAGGGTCATCTCCTACTACCAGCGTGTGCAGCCCGTCTGGCTTGGCCTCCACTATGGGCACCAGGTGAGGCTGGGGGCAGCAGGGAGGCCGGGGCCAGTGGGCAGCGGGGCCATGACTCTGACCCCTGCCCCTGCACAGACCCAAGCCTGGCAGTGGCCGAGTGGGGACAAGTACAACATCACCAGTGGGCTGATGGGGAATGGTGCCCGCGGGGGGACCTGCGGCATGCTGACCCACCTCAGTGGTGAGTGCGTGGACCCTGCATCCACCTCCAGTGCTCAGTCTCAACCAGCATCCCTCCCACTCCCTCCTCCAGGTCCCATTTCCCTGGGGGGCTGTGGCAGGCAGAGCTGCTGCCCCTGTCCTTGCCATGGCCCCACAAACCCCCAGCCCATCTCTCTGGCAGGCTTCACCCTGTGGTCCAGCACCGACTGTACCCAGCAGCATCACTACATCTGCAAGTTCATGCCCTTGCACTGAGGACAGCACCTGGACCCATGGTGTGCCCCACATCAGCAACGCTCCTCTCTTGCCACCTCTGCTCCTCTCCCCCAACTCCTAAAAATACACCTATAAAAAAAGAAGTGTGCAAGTGCTGTGTGGGGTTGGTGCTGGTGCAAAGCCCTGTAAGAGGGAGATGCTGCCCTGGCTCCCTGAGCTTCCCAGCTTCCTGGGGCTCCAGCACTGCAGGTGCCAGCAGAGACATTTGGGGGCGAGTCCCAGGAGCTGCAGGGCTGGTGGCTCTCCCAGACAGGCTCTAGTGTTTGCTCATCCCC